ATAAGTTTTTAAATATATTTACAATATTTTTGTAAGTCTCTTCTGCTCACCAAGGCTGCATTTATTTGATTAAAAATACAGTAAAAACGGTAATATCGTGAAATATTATTGCAGTTTAAAATAACTGTTCTCTATTTTAATATCTCTTAAAATGTAATATATTTCTGAGATACTGAAGCTGAATTTTCAGCATCAATACTCCAGTCTTCAGTGTCACATGATCCTTCAGAAATCATTCTAATATGCTGATTTGCTGCTCAAGAAACATTTCTGATTATTAACAATGTCCTTGGATCCTTGCTGAATAAAAGCAAGTGCTAGTGAAGTGATAGATTCAGCAGAGTTGCAGCAAGATGTATGCATCTTTCTCACCTGTGAACATCTGTATCCACAGGATGTTAAAGAGCTAGAAGCCAAAGAAATGCAGGCTAGTGACCCCTACAGAAAGGTAAACTCGGGTTTGTGCGTATATCACCATGATTCTTCAGTACTGCTCAGTAAACACATCTAATCTCAGGTGGCGGATGTGTGTCGTGGGATGATGGTTGACATCACGGCTCTGCGTGCCAGAGTAAGTCAACTGGAGGAGGAGAAGAGAAGCTTAGATCAACATCTCAACCTCAAACACAGAGAGCGCTATGACACACTGGTTCGCCAGCTCTTCTCCACATGCGTTCTTCTGAAGGTGTGTAAGCTTTCGGTTTTGATATATGGACTATGATTTCATAAAATCATTAAAACATGAACTAAGTATATGTAGCGTGATGTCAGCTGGCTCAGCTCTCTGTGCCGCCCACAGTCACGTCTGGACAAATACCATGTGAATATGGACCATGATGTGCGACAGCTGGTGAGCAGCGTGAGGAAGGAAGGCGTGGACAGAATCATCAAACTGAAAAATAAATTATCCTCCGCTAATGATAACGAGACCCTCATTCACACACTTCATGAGGTGAACCGCTAGAATGAGCTTTGTTATAAGGGAATAGCCGAAATTTATATTGTTTAAATCT